TGTATATATGTACACATACATGTTTATTGGGGTTCTCTAACATTCAATTTAACATTTTCTTGAATCTTATTTAGGTATAAATATGCATTCATTATTATTAGAATAAATATTCTACGAGTATTTTCATTTTTTATGCTGACGGATAATCGAACTTTAGCTGTCTACTTAAAAAGAAACAGAAGTGGGAAATATAAATATAAATAATAATTACATACATATGTATTTATAGATATATGTATGTGTGTCTGTGCATATATGCATTTAATTTTTGCTGAATTTCATTAGTTTTCACTATTTTCTAATATAGTCTAATAATACTTAAAAACACTTCTACGAAGCCAGTTTGAATTTTGTTTAATTAGTTCGCTGCTGCTGCTTGTCAATAATCGTTATCGTTATCGTTATCGATTCTCCTTCTTTCTTTTTCTGTTATACATGTACAAATTCTAAATTGCGTACAAAATGCTCAACAATGTTTCTTAGGGATTTCTTTTTTTTTTGCTTTTTGTTTGCGTTTGCTTTTGCTTATCATTTTGCTTTGATTTTGGATTTGTTTCGTTTAATAACATTTATCAAAAATATAAACTACATTAAAAATTACTTTTATGCATATCCATGGGCTCAATTCTAGACCTAGATCATTCAACTTGTGCCGACAGTCTCTCAACCTCAAACTCAACTGCAACCCAAACCAAATACCAAACTATACCTATACTTCGTCCTCAGCTCCTTCTTCTACTTCGTCATCTTCTTTATATTGCCCTATTCCTTACATGTGTGTAACCCGACTTGGACTGCTGAAAGTTAAGTTAGGTTTTATCTGAAGTTTAAATATTAATGTAACATTCATAGCCTAACAATGAAAACGTGTCGTGTCTTGCCAGCATTCAGCACTCAACACTTTCTTAAACCTATGCCTAAATATGATTTAGTTTTATCGTTTTCTCATCGATTTTTATCGATTTTGATTCCTCTTCATTTTTGTTGTCGTTTTTGGTGGTAGTTGTGAAACGTTTGAATTTTAAACGAGGCGGCGCCCAAATAAACTAATCACAAATGCCGACACACGCATACCAACTACTTTATAGTTTATGATTTTAACATACATATATATATTTTCATATATATGTATATATATATATATATATATATATATATATATATATATATATATATATATATATAATTGGGGTTAAAATTCACGAATTGCCTGCACGAGCTACAAAGTTATCGTTTATCGTTTGTCGTTAAGAGACGCTCTATATGTGTATGTATATGTATGTATATGTATATATACATATACATATATACATATGTATATATATATATGTATATTTAGAGAGCACAGTTAATTGGCGGTATAAAAAGTTTACATTTTAGTTAAATTTTTCACTTCGTTTTGGAAAAAATACATATCCTTAAAATGTTCAATATATTTTTATGTATGTATGTGTATATATATACTGATTTATGCATATAATTTTTTAATTTTTTTTTTTGTTTATAGATAGATAGCGCTGTGTTTTATAGTTACACGATTTAGCTTACATAAATATGTTTTGGGCTTTAATTCTTTAAATATATATACCAATACAAATATATATATTTAAAAAAATTGTTACATATTCATTTTGCACAGTCTATTAGATTCTCAATTCATCAAAATTGTTATCAACATACATTTATATCGTATCTATATATAGATTTATATATTTTAGAGTTAAGTTTTAGATTCTTCCATATGCAGTAAAATACATCTCTAGAATGTTCTGTATGGGTGAGAGGGACAACGCACTAGTGCAAGCAAGCGAGAGAGGAATGCTCGAATGTTCGTCTGCTACGTCCCACTGTGCGACACATTCCCTGTTAGTTAACTAACTGCAACACATTCTCTGTTAATCAACAGCGGCACATTTCCTGTTTGTTAACAGCGGCGAGCGTTAACAGATGTTAAGGTGCAAAGCAAAATTATATGAAATAAATCAAGACAGAAAATGATAAATAAAAACACAAAGCAAACAATTGTTTTTTTCTTTTGTCGGAATTGATAAAAAAATCATTTAATTATGTACTTCTGTTACTTTTCTTTTGTGGCGGTTTCTTGTGTTGTTTTTTTTTTGTGTAAGATTTAGTTAATGTTTACAACAATTTGTATTTAAAAAGTGTTGTTGCTTGCATTCGTTTTGTTAATAATAATTATTAATGTTATTTGTGTCCCATTTTGTGTAACATTTAAAAATGTAATAATAAATTTAATAAAAATTTAATAGTAAACATAAAAAACAAATAAGCACAAGTCAATTATAGTTTTTTCTCTTCTCTTTTTATCTTTTTTTGTTTTGCTTTTCTTGTTGCTGTTGTTGTTGTGCAAGTGTTTATATACGCTAATGAATAATAATAATAAATACAATTAAATATTATGTATATATATATTTATATATATATAGACATAATATATATATATATATATATATGTTTTAGGCCATAATAAATACCATCAATTAGCAGTTAACAATTTTTAAGTATATAAAAAATTTTCAACAGTTTTATCTTTCAGTTTTGGTGTCAAGTAAAAAGTTCTCACAAGAAATGTACAATACTTTGTTTTTTTACCGTTACATTACAGCTACACACACACAGAGTTACATATTACAATATTACAATATTACAGTACTTGAATTTAATTAGTTTATAGTTTACAACAAGCATTCGTTTAATATTAAGAATTGTCACATGACAAATGCTCACACACGCAGGGTATGTGTTGTGCGTGTGTGTGTTTGCCTATGCATGTGTGTCTGTTACATAACCTATAAATTTAATAATCTCACTTAACGATCGTTAAGTTCAAAAATGCAAATTACAAATTACACAAAAAATAAACATTTTTCAAGCATCAAAAACAAATCAGACGAAATAATAATAATAATAATGAAACAAAATAATAATAAAATAAATTCTAATAAACAAATATTTATATATATATTTTTTTCTTTTCAATATATATATATATATATAGATATATATATATATATATATATAGTGGTCGTTATATATATAAATTCAAATAAAATTATAAACATTTTTTAAATGCTGTTCCTGTTACTGTTGCGTTTTGTAGTCTCAAAATGTTCTAATTAAATTAATTAATGCCTGTTATTATTATTATTATTATTATTACTCATATCTATTTTCCCCTTCCAGCTACTCACAACTCGTTTCTGAACTGTGAATTAATATAATCATAATTGGAACACATAGCAAAGCGCTTAAAATTATTGCAAAATTCAACTCAACATTGGATTTTCTACTTTTCATCTGCATCTTCTTCGTTTTCTTCTTCTTTCTTTATCAAGATCAAGATTTGATTTTGTTTTCGAGTTTTTTTTTTTGGGTTTTTGAGAAAGTTTCGTTTAGTTGAGATTTTCTTTTACACTTAGATTTATACATATATGTAAGCATATATATATATGTATATATATATTTGTTAATAGTAATTGTTTATAATAATAATAAATCGTTTAAGTCTTCTGCGCTGATTGCCAACTATTTTTTGTTTACCGTTATTCATCTTTTATCTTTATATCTTAAGTGTTTTTTTTCTCTTCTCATTAAATGTTTTTGCTGCATTTAAATTTGTTTGGAAATTTAATTTTAATGCGTAAAACACGATCAACAAACTGTTTTTGTTTAATTTTTTTTTTTTTCAATTTTTAACAACGTTTGGAAAATTCTTTTGAGCGTCAAGCGAAATGCTTTAAACAAATTTTAAAAATATATATATAAATATTTATATATATAAATAAATAAATTTGATACATGCACAGACATTTTATATATATATATATATATATATATATATATTAGTGCCGATCAACTAAGAACAAGAATAATTTCAACTATTTTCAGTGCGTTTTTTTTTAGTTTTTTGTGTTTTAAAAATTAAGCAGCGGCAATTTTGTTGTTTGTTTAAAGTATTAATTATTATTGTTTTTTTTTGTGTTATAATAATAATAAAACAATGAAACATAAAAACTAAGCGAGTATAAAAAAGTTGTGTGTTGTTGTTTTTGTTGTTATTAAAAAAGTAGCAAAACATTTCATAATAGCTTTAATAATAATATAATAATAATAATAATAATAGGTATATGTAGTAATAATAATAATAAAAATACACGTATGCATATAAATAATCAGTAATCAATAAGTTTACAATCAAAAAATAATTTATAAACATAAAAAACAGTTCAATATATATATATTTTCATATCAAAATTTTTGTTGTCTCTTTTTTTGTTTGTTTGTTGTTGTTTATATGCGTTCAAAAAATAATAACAAAACAATTTTTACGCTTCACTTAAAATTACAATTAATAAAAAATATTTGTTTAAATGCTCGAACTATTTATTTGTCCATTGTTGAAGCATTTTATTAAAAACTATTTTTTTTTTCTTTATTTTTTTTTGTTTTTAGTTAAGTTTTATTTTGTTTGTTGACGAGCGAACATAAATAAAAGTGGAGGGATTTGCTTTCTGGTATTTTGTGTATTATTTATATATATATATAAAAAATCAAGAGACTTGCAACTGCCGAGTGGGCGTGGCACGGCAAAGGCGCCATTCGAGTTGTGGTTTGTTTTTGTGAACGAATTAAACAAAAAATAAGTAATACACAAATAAAAATATTTAAAAAAAAAACATTTAAGTCTTAACACAGTGTAAAAAAACAAAATTCAACAATAATTTAAAAAGTTAATAATATAAAAGTAAGTTTCTATAATATATAAGAGAGAGAGAGAGAGAAAGTTCTTGCTATGCTATGCTATGCTATGAGAAACAGGCAGATAGACAGAGACAGAGACAGAGAGAGAGAGAGAGAGAGAGAGAGAGAGGGGGGGGGGGGGATAGATCGATAGTAGTAGAGAGCGCGCAAGTCAGAATTGCCAACTTGTTTTATGATTCACAAATCAAATATTTCTGATCTGGCTGTAATCATTGATATTTTTTTTTTTTGTATTTGCAATTGTGTGTTTTTTTTTCTATATCTGTGAAGAAGGCTCTCTGCTTACATACCCACAGGCGCCAGCTGTACGTAGCGATAGATATATAGTCGATAGTCCTTGCTGGCTAGAACAACGCTGCCATCATCCATGAGCGCCACGTCGAAGCACTGGGCATGCTTCACCTTCGATTCCAGCGCCGAGATCAGCTGCCCGTCCTGTGTGAAGATCGTCAAATTGAAATTGTTATGATTGTCCGCAATAAGAATTTCGCCATTGGAATTGATGCCGACGCCAATGGGGTAGTTGGTAATGCCCTCGCCGCCAATCTGTCGCAGATACTGGCCCTCGTAGTTGAAGACCTTGACGCAGTGCGCCCGATTGTCGCTGATGAAGATCTCCTGCTTGTCGTTCACCACCACGCCATTGGGGAACTCCAGATGCTTGGAGCAGCCGAACTTATGCAGCACATTGCCATTCTGATCAAAGATAATGACGCGCATCACCTTGCATTCGACGACAATGATGCGGCCCTTGTTGTCGACGGTGACGCCGCGCGGATGCTGCAAGATTGTGGCACCAAATTTACGCACAAATTGTCCATATTGATTGTAGATCTGGATCTGGTGCGTCGGCGAACGCTCGGTCACAATAATATCGCCCGAATTGCGCACAACAGCCACACGGTTCGGGTAGAGCAGCTGCGAGTCACGTTTGCCGCACTCGCCGAACTGGAACTTGAAGCGTCCCTCCTTGTCAAAGATCTGGATGCGATGATTGTTCGTATCCGCCACGATGATATCATTCTGTGCATTCACTGCCACGCCGCTTGGCTCCGTGAATTGACCTTCCATGACACCGAACTCGCCAAATTTGCAGTGATAGATCATCTTCTGTCGCTTGATCTGCGACTTGGGTGGATATATGGAAGCGGAGAGCAGCTTGCTGGTCAAATCCAGCAGCGATTCACTGCTGACTGCGCTGCTGTTGCCATTCCCATTGAGGTTCACAGAGGAGAGACTGGCAAAGGCATCCACAACAGCCGAACTGCTGCCGCCGCCGCTGCCGCCAATTGTTGCAACTGTTGTCGTATTGAACAGATTGTCGCTGCCGCCATTGCTCCACTTCTCGTAGGGATTGTAGTGTGTCATGCTGCTGGCACGCTTGGGCAGCAGCTCACCAAAGTGCTGCAGATCGCTCAGATTGCGCTCACGTCCGCCCAGCAAGAGGCAGCCATTTGTGTAGACGCTGCTTCCATTGCTGTTGCTGCCATTGCTGCTGTTATCGAGCAGACTGCCCAGGCCGAGGCCTGGCAGCAACTGTTGCTGTTGCAACTGGAGATGTTGCTGCTGCTGCTGCTGCTGTTGATGATGATGATGGCTGCCTGCACTGCTGGCGCTGCTGTTGCTCGCACTCTGCGTGGGCCGCGCAATGGGCGGCTGCTTGCCATGACTGTGACTGTGACTGTGACTCTGGCTGTGACTTAGGTGACTGTGACCCAGACTGAGGCTCGATTCGGAGCAGCTGCCGCTACCAGGGCCGCCGCCAGTGCCTCCAGCACCATTACTGGCGCGTATGTAGCCAAAGGTGTTGCGCACGCCCGCCTGTATCGATTGATAGTTGGACATGAACTCCAGGTCGAAGGGCAATTGCATGTCCTGCACGCCCGACTGCAACTGTTGCTCGAGCGTATTGCGTAGCAACAGGGCCTCGGCCAGCAGCGACGATTGTACGCCATTTGCGGGCGAGCGCTCGACAGCCTCGCAGGCAGCCAGGCACTTGTCAATGATCTCCTTGGAGCGCTGCATCCAGACCGCATTGTTGTTCACCTTAGCCGTGTAGAGCGTCTCCAGCTCCTTGACCAACTCGGTCTTGCGCTCGTCCAACATCGAGGCAAAGAACTGATGCGTCTCGTTCAGCTCATTGTGCGCCTTCTGATACTGCTGCTTGACCTTGGTCACGCTCTGCTCTGCACTGCTGGCCACAGCCACGATCTCGCCAATCTTGCCGCGCATATCGGCGAGCAGCGTCTGCAGCGCTGCCTCATTGTGGCTGCGGCTGCTGCTGCTGCTGCTGTTGCTGCCGCTGCCGCTGCCGTTGGTCGCCACAGCTACAGCCGGCGATTGCACATTCTCGAGCTCATGCAGGCCCGTCGAGTGCTCCAGGACGATGCACTCCTTGCACACCAACGTGCAGCAGGTGCGGCAGCTGAATTTTAACAGCTCATGCTTGTGACGCGCGCAGAAGACTTGTCGCTGTTGCTGCTGCTGTTGTTGTTGCTGCTGCTGCTGCTGTTGCTGCTGCAAATGCGTTGTGTAGAGCGTGTCATGTTGCTGCTGCTGCTGCTGCTCTTGTGAGTTGTTGGCTGCTGCTGCCAACACAATCTTCGATAGCTGCGACATGGGCTGTGCTTCTGTCAGTTGTGCCTGTTGCTGCTGCTGCTGTTGTTGCTGTTGCTGTTGCAGCATCATTGTCAATGAGCTGGCATACTTGAAATCGCTGGAGGCCGGATTGTTGCTGCTGCTGTTGCTGCCGACATTGCTACTGCTGCTGCTGCCGCCGATGCCGATGCCGTTGCTCGTCGCCTCGAAGCCCTTGATCAGGCAGACATTGTGGCCGTTGAAGCAGTGCATAAACTCGTGCGCTGTCACACAGTTGGCGCACAAATAGCTCTGGCAATCGAAGCACTTGGCTACGGCATCACTGCTCTTGCTCGTGCAGGCGGTGCACCGAGCAGGTGCGTTGTTGCTGCTGCTGTTGTTGCTGCCATTGTTGCTGTTGCTGTTGCTGCCTTTGCCAGCGCCAACGACCAAGCTGCTGATGCTATTGCTGCTGTTGTTGCTGGGCAAATTGCTGCCAATGACGCCGGGTCCATTGCTGGTGACATTGGAGCCGCTGATGACGCTGCTGCTGGTGCTGCCGCAGCCACTGAGGCCGCTGGTCGATGAGCTGGACGATGAAGAGGACGACGACGACGAAGAGGAGCAGGATGAAGAGCTGGCCGACGAGCTAGATGACACTGAGGCCGAAATCGGATGATGCCCATTGATAACGGTCACATCCTGGCGCACCTTAACGCTGACCTGACTGCCAGCTATATATTCATCGCTGCAGATCGCCGAATCGCTCACTGGCGGCGAGGAGCCGCTCAGTGTCAGCGGCGAGTCCGACAGATAGCCGGCATGCTCATATGATTCAATCGAGTTGGCCCCACGCATGGAGTCCAGCGATGGAGTCGGCGAAGACGCCATCGTTCTGTGTGTGTAATTGGGTGTCTTGAATGTTTTCTCCTCTTCTTCTTCTCCTTCTCGATTCACTTTTCAATTGTCCACAGTGTCTCCTTCTCTGTCTGCCACTGGAAACACCTGGAAATTTAAAATTGCAATTTTATAAGCTAAGCTTGAATATGAAATTGAATATGATAATTGCATTGAGACAAAACGATGACATTTCATAGACCAAAACTAAAGATAAATGTTTAACGAGGAAATGCCTCACATCCCTCAAATCTTAAATAACTAAAAAAAACACTAGTATCAAAAAAAAAACTAAAACTTTTCTTTCTGAACTTTCTAAGCAATTTGCAGATATAAAAAAAATATGGCCTAAACAAGGTAATAGCATAAGTGCCTTGGCCCAACAACTGGCACAACTTAGTTAGAGGCCCACCCCTTCACCCTTCCTCTACAAGTCACGTTCTTTTGTTTTCGTAGCACCCTTTGTGTGAGTCAGCAAAAGTTTTGCAGACCTTTTGCGCCCCTTTAACAAAAATTATGATTCACCTTCTTTTTGTAACATAATTTGTAGCTAATTGTCCCTTGGTAATCCCCTACACCGTGCTACAGCCCCTCACACACACAAACGAAACTCGTTTATGAAGCGAAGAGACTCTTCTACATTTGCCAAACGGTAACAAAGTGCTTTTTAACGCAATTCGAGGCTGTACACGGGCGGCGGTGGCGGTGGGGGTCTCCCCTCTTGTCATTCGTAGTCTTGGAAACCCCCGACTCACAGTCCAGCCAAAAATCCACTCTTCCCTCCCTCGACTTTAGCTATCAACAGGAAATGCAATAAGCGCACGCACAAGGGGCGCTTGAACTACTTGCCGCCGGCAAAAGAGGGTGCACAACCCCTCACAGTAAAACAAAAAAAAGAATAACAACAAAAAGTAAACAAGCGGCGGCGGCGGCAATCGGACAAGGAACTTTTCTAGATTTTCATTTCCAGCAATATCCACACAGACACACACACACACGCGCAAATACAAAACATCCGTCAACAAAAGCCACACTCGAAGAAGTTGGGAAGTGAAAGCAAAACGGCAAACCGAAACGAAATGGAACGAAAATCAACCCTCGAAAAAGCGCCCAGTGAAGCGGCAAAGCAACAAAGCGCGCTCCCCAAATAATAACGGGAGTTCGGTCGAGTGTGGAAGAGCGAGCGGGGATTAGGTGGGTGCAACTGTCTAGACTGAATGTATGTGCACATTTATCACGCACACAAACACACACACACATATACTCGCACACTCATACACTTACACACACATACACTCGCACACTCACACGAACAGAGCCTGCAAGAGGCATTGACTTACCTTTTTTGTTGTATTTTTTTCGTCTCCGCTATTTTATTTTCTCCTCTGTTTTTGTTTTTTTTTTCTTTTTTTTTGCATTCGCTTTTAATGCAGTCAAAAAATTAATGCCAATATGGTCCTTATTATTGTTGTAGTTGTTATTGTTGTCGTTTTGTCTCCATTTGTCACTTCCGCTCGATTGCTGTTGTTATTGTTGTTTTCGTCTACTATTTTTGTATCATACTTTTCGGGTGCTGCCAATTTCAGTTGCCAATTGTGAATTGCGTTGCGCGCACAAAATGCTGCAATGGAAAAGCGAACAAAAGCACGTTTAGTATTTTCGAATGTATCTCAGAAATAGATTTTAAAATAACATTTCTCTTTTATGATCATTGCCTATGCACTTTTCACAGTTAGTCCCTGGAACAACAACACGGAGCCGTGGTAAATGACAACGCGACGCGTTTGCGACGCAGCTCCCTGCAAAACTAACTTTGCGCATTATTCAGCGACCCGGGTAAAGCTGCCAGGAGCAGCAACAGCAGCGGCAGCAGCGAAGTCGACGTCAACGTTGACAGAGACAGCGACTGCGCTGCTACTGCTGAGAGTGCGTCTGCATGTCCTGTACACTGACGGGCAGAACGACAACAAAAACAACAGCAGCAGCGCAGCATCAGCAAATGCAACGCTGCACGTTGCTGTGGGCGGCATAAAACAAAATTATTCCCAATTACCAGCCGAAACAAAACACACATATATACACACATACATACATACATACATACATACATACATACACACACACATATACATACATACACATACACATACAGAGTTGGGAAAAATCAATATTCATATTTACAGTGCGCACACGGAAAGACAGGCAAACACAGGCAACAAGGCAAACGGCAACAAGCGGCTTCGGCTTGTATATGCGTGCGAAAGAGAGAGAGAGAGAGAGAAAGAGAGATAGAAGCATAAATGCCGAACTGTTGAATGCCGGCCCAACCGGTCCAAACTAAATTGTACAGCCCCCGCCGAGCCGTGTTCTGTCCGTGCGAACAGAGCAACCCTTAAAACAATATGGCGTCGGCCACTCACCCACTCAGACCACCAACTAAAAGCAACAATTTTCCATTGCCGACCACGAAGACAGCGACGCCGCCGTCACCGACGCAGCGCTACAGGTTGCGAGCTCAGAGAGTGAAATGTAACAGGAAGCAACAGCGAACGATAAACCGATAACACGGCACTCTCCTCTCTCTCTCTCTCTCTCTCTCTGTGTCTGTCTCTCGTGCTTTGCAGCCTTGCGCATGTTTTCCAATTTTGGGCAATGACAACGACCGCGCCAAATACAACAATAAAAACAAACTGCGCTCTCAGTCGGTGCTACTGCTACTGCTTGTTCTTCTTCTAATGCTGAGTGGGCGAGAACATACTTTTTCGCCTATGCTGCCGGCGGCGCCACCAGAACTTTCGCGTCGAATTCGAGCAACTCGCCTTGCCTCCGCACCACAACGCTCAGCAACGGTTGCAGTCTAACTGCAAAAAAAGAGAGAAGTTATTTTTCCCTTTTGCATGTTGTTTGTTCTTTTTGTTGTCACAGTGCATGGAAAATGCTAGCAATGACGCGCAGACAGCAGATACCAGAGGAGAATTACATGCAGCATACAAAAAACATACATACATATATATATATATATATATATGTATGTATATGTGTATATGCATTTGTGTGTGTGTATTTGTGTTTGCAAGTATATTTAAATGAATTTATGTAAGTGCATAGCAAAAATTTCTCTACACGTAGACAAAATAGCCAGACACTTCTTACATTAGCGCATACACATACATACTTACACATGCATGCAGTGAATAATCAGATGTATACTCACACACTCACACATGTACAAGTAGCTAGCTACTATTTTGACAGTGTTGCCAACTGTTGCAATTAAAGTTAATTTTATTTAAGATGTATATATTATAGCATATACATATGCACATTCGTACATACTTATTTATTTTACATATTTACTTTTTTGTAAAGTAAGATCATTAGAAATTCTAAAACTTTACGATTTTTTTTTAAATTGTGCACATGCAGTAAAAATCAGAATTTTCTTATGTGCAGTAGTCGATCACTACAACAAACAGCTCCGTTATTATTTAACATTTCCTCTTTTTAAGTGCAATCACTAAAAACAAAACTAAGGAACTAAACATTTTGTTTATTTATCACGTCTTAACGAAAGTAGTACCAGCTAATACCATTGATCGCACATTCATATAAATACAGTTCTGACTCAATACATAGATTTTCATAGGCGAACAATTTCAACAGGTTGGTTAATAATAAACTTATTGCGTGACACTTTCCACTGCTGAAATAACAACAATAAATAGTATGGCAGTAGTTGCTATTTAGACACCTATGACAGAAACATATAAAAAAAAAAAAACATTTATATATATATATATTCATATATATATATATATATATATATATATGTTTATTTATTTATTTATATATTTATATATATACGTTTGTACTAAATTACCAATTGATAGTACGACCTGGCAGATTAGATTAGCAAATCGGGTCTGCACGGGTTGTACGATAATGTCGTGTGATATATGCATGTTCATATAGACTAGCACAGATAGTTGAATTGTATATTATCATGACAGCAAAAGACAGAGCGCGAGAGAGGGTCGAGCTTTATGGCTTTGCCATATGTTGGCTCTTAGAATGGTTGATGGGAAACATATACAACAAATTCCAGAGGGCCCGTAAAAGCATTTAAAAATAGGATCTCATAATAATAATAATAATAATCAGGCAGTCAGCCTGATGGACTGGCAATACACTGCACTACACTGCACTGCACTGAGGGCGTGCGTTTGGGTCATTAAGTTCAAATATGCACAGCACAGTGGGATAGATGGGTGGGAGGTAGGAGAATGGTCTGTGCACTGTTTGACGTGTAGAATACAAACACAAACTGCGCAGCCATTACTAATGCAAAACAATTTGTAAAAGATTATTAATTTCATGCCTGAAAAATGTGCACAGAAACAGACGGAAGCAAAGTACTGAAAGAAGAGCGGAATGATGATGAGGATGATGATGATGATAAAGAAGAAGCATAAGTAGAAGTAGACGAGATGCAAAACAGCAACCAACTACATCAGCAGCAACAAAATAATATCAAGTTCAGGGCAGGCAGACAGGAACAAATGGGAAGGGGTAACTGCAAACAACAGTGGAATGCGAGACACAATAAATTGCAAACAATATAAAGCGTAACAGCCAAAAGAAGTTCTGCGGAAAATACCAAAATGCAAAAATGCATTTAGAGTTTGTTTCGTTTTCGCTCGCATACATGCAGACTCACCACACACACAGAGAGACACAATTGAGCAGCATTACTAACAAACGTTTCAATTCGTATCGTTCCCTTCTAACCATTTGGGGTTGCAGCAGCAACAGCAGCAACGACAGCAGAGTTCAATGGTACCCAGCGGCAACAACCACAACAAAGCCAAAGAGCATGACACAGACGCGCAAAAAATAGAAGCCCAGTACAAAGCGCAAACTGTAAAACAGAACAAAGCATGCGAAATTTGCGACGACGACGAAACCGTTTACCTGCGCCATCGTTTCTAAACGGGCTGCAGCTGCAGATACACATACATAAACAAGAGAACTTACTGTATATAAGTATACGTGTGTTGGTGAATGTTCCTAGAGTCATGGACGTGGCCATCGACAAAGGTACCGCCTGCCAGCAGCGTGTCTGGATAGAGATGGTGAGCCGTGCACGACCCGCGTGATGCAAATTTTTATTTGCCATTTTTTCAGTCGAAGCAAACCCAATTCGTTGAATTTAAAGACATTGTCAGCACCTTTGCAGCTCCCCCTTTTGCAAAACCTCAGATGTCGCGAGCTATGCGTCAGCAGCATGCGACCCCAAAGCAGCGACTGCAGCGGTAGCGGCAGCTGCTGAATGAAATTCATTTGACGACGGCGTATTTTATTGAACAAGAAGACAATGGCAAACGACCCCCCCACACAAGGGAGTTGTTTTATTGTTGTAGGAGACGACAGCGATACAAGACACTAAGAATGGCAGACAACAAGAGCGAAATAATAACAACAACAACAGCATCCAATTTAGCAGACAACAGCCACACAGTCGCAGACACTCCATGAACTGCTGCCTCTACCAGCACCAATTCTTATTATCTCCCCACTATCCTCCCGCTCGCTCAGTCTCCCTCTCTCTCGCTCTGTAGCTGTCTTTTTCTCTTTAGCCTGCATCAGTAGCTGCTCTGTTTTGCTCTCCTCCTTACAGTCTGTTCGTCAGCTCAACGTCGTGCTACCATTGCATTTAATATACCCTGTATTTTGCGTGCAGTTTAATCGAGCAGTATCGTGGGCAGTTGGAGAAAATGCCTGTACTTGCATTTTACATAGCAATACATATTTTTCCGACCTTAATTATATCCATTAGTTGTTGTTATGTACAACTTTATATGTTTATATACTTTATGCCTAGGGTATCTTATTATCAACCAATTTCTTGTATGTTTCAATTTTTTTTCACTCGTTTTGCATTACGTTTGCTTTCTTACTGCACTCTGTAGTGTCTGTGGCTCGTAAGCTGGGCTGTCGGCTGTGACTCTCCTGTTAATGGTAATGGAGTTAAATGTGCTTGTTGTCCTACTGTTTACAGTGGCGTGCTTGCACATTGTGCTCGCTCAATTTCTGCTGCACACACACACACACGTACATATATATCTATATAGTGGAGCACTTTGCACTGCGCAAAGCAAATTGATGTATCCGAAAAGATCATGTTTCATATCTGTACCACAGTTGGATTGCAGCTATAGTCTTGTTGCAGCGAATGCATCCAATCAAATGGTACGTGTCTGTTGGTACGTTTACGTGTAAGCTTTTGATAAATATTTACTATCTACTTTAACATTTCCAATTAGAGTTGTACCACTTTTCGTTGTGTGTACATTGTACATATCTACATACATACATATTATGTTTGTATCGTTCTTTATCTATTACGTGGAACTCGAACGCCCCAACGGGGCAACTAAACAAGCGCAACTTTTTGATAATGAAAATATAAGAAATTGGTACACAAAGATTGAAATTGGAATGGAAAGTGTTGCAAAACTTTACAGAAAAAACAATAAATAATATATATATATGCATATATATATGTATATATATATATATATATATATATATATATATATATACAATACACATGAACATGTT